ATTCCAGAAAGTGGTAAATGCTACAAATAAAATCAGAGCGCTAGCCATCTTCTGTTTGCTTTGGAAGATCTTGAGCTACTCTATCACAGTGGAGTTCCCCCTTAGACCAATTTAGATCAGCTGGAGGAGCTTGATTTACATTTTAAAAGGAAATTAAAATGTTTTGGATTACAACTAAGAGCTTTCCTTTTAAGGGAGAAATCATCCTTTTTCATGAAAATTATTTTTTCTTTCCTTCTCAGACCGAGTGAGCTGTTTTTAAACAAACAAAAATTAACAACGTATTAATTGATGAAACGGTTGCCACACCAGGTTTAACCTGTTTTATAGTAAACAAATCTTAACATCTCCTTAATGATCCAGTGCAGCACATTTTTCTTCCTTGTGATGAGGAAGGACTTTAAAGATCCACATTCTTGGCAAGTTTCAAATATGCAACAAGGTATTATTAGCCACAGTCACCACGTTATACGTTATATGGTTTACTTATTTTACTGCGCTGCATTGCTTTTCCTAAGGGACAGATTGGAAAGGTTTTACGTCCAAAATCCGAGGGTAAGGCATCAGATTAACAGGAGAGAGGGCAGCCCGGGTGGCTCAGCGGTTTAGCCTTTAGCCTTCCTTTAGCCCAGGGTGTGATCCTGGAGACCTGAGATGGAGTCCCACATCAGGCTACCTGCGTGGAGCCTGCTTCTCCCTTTGCCTGTGTCTCTGTGTCTCTCATGAATAAATATAATCTTAAAAAAAAAAAAAGGATTAACAGGAGAGAAGACATTCTCTTCTGTTTCCACTGCCTCTCATTTAGGTTTTTAGGGATTATCTTTGTTCATGTAGATTTTATGAAACCAAAAAAGGAGTTTTGTGAAATTTAAATTAACACGCCTAAATGGTTCCAGCCAGTTTAAACAGCATGGCCTGCAGATTTCAGCTCTCCCGACTACTCCAGCCAAACAGACACGGATACCTGGTCTACCATGACCTGCACCCAGGCCCGGCAGGGGAAACTCACAACTCTGTCTTGCTGGTTATCTTGGTAGGTAGCCAGATCTATATTTCGGGTCCTTTAAAGGCACAGTCATCATGATTTTTGTCTACCTCAAACAATTTGCACTGAGTAGGGGACTCAGTAACTACTGGTTGGTTCCCTGACAATTGACCTCACCTCCACTTCTGTTGCTGTGCTTCTGGCCTCACACCCTCAGCAACCTCCCTCTCACCGACGCCGCGGTAAGAAGCAGCTACGTGTGAAGTGTAGTGTAGCTTCCGTGTGTGACACATATTTGCTCTTAAAAGGAATCCTATTTATCTCCGTTTGTTCAAGTGCTGGCCGCAGAGTATCTTAAGTCTCAAGAAAGAGCAAGAGTGGTTAGTGGTTGATGCCAAGCATATTTAAAACCTCCAATTCCTGGAAACATACACATTTTCTGTTGTGAACATTTGAAAGATACACTGTAGTCCAGAGAAGCGCCTGTGGAGTGCATTCACAAATCTTCACCACGTCATTTCCCTGTTCCCTCTGTCCTGACCAACCAGAAGTTTCCTTTTTCTACAGCTCTGCCCTGTTCGGAGTAGGCAGCTGTACAGACACAGGGACCCTGGTGAGGGAGAGAGGGAAGGAGAGTTGTTCTGACTGCCCAGTGTCCTGAAGGCAGTATTCTCAAAGTCTTTCTTCGCAGGGATACCTCTCCTGCACTTTCCACACAGCACCAAGTGCAGACAAGGTGAGTCGTTGTTTCCAGAAAATTGCAGCTTCTACTGGTCTATCACAGCATGGCTTTTTGACTTTGCTCTGCACGGGCACACACACGCATGAACGGATGCGCACATACACACGCGCACACACACTCTGCTGCAAAGTGGACTTCTCCATTCACTCTCAGTGGATCTGGGTTCTCCAAGTGCAGAGATTACTTTCTATTCCAAACAGCAACTTCTGAAGCAGTGATGTGCTGAAGCCCTGAGCCTGGGGACGAGGTCAGAGATATTTATTTATTTATTTATTTATTTATTTATTTATTTATTTATTTATTTATTTATTTTAGAGATCATCATTTAAAGGTGGATGGCAGATGAAGGGGCATCAGGTATGGCCTGGACCTACTAGCCCTGGGTCCTGGGCATCGATGCTAAGCCTGCTTCCTGGAGGCTCTCTCCTGCTGGTCGGTGGACTCCCCTTGGACCACGGCCAGACCAGAGCAACACCTGGCAACTGGCAGTAGCTTTTAGTAAGTGTTTGCTCCGTGCATTACTGAGCAAACCAGTGAATCAGTGTGAACCAAAATGCAAAACCAAAAGGACAGGAATGGAAGCAGGATACTAAACTTCCAATCCATGATTTGCTTTTTGATGATGACAAAAATAAAACCCGTGCTCCTAGAAACAATAACTGGACGCAATAGCCTTTGTGTGACAACCGGATGGCTAGATCCAGAAGAGACCAAACGGAAAGGTAAAAACGGGAATAAAGACACAACAATTAAGACACATCTGTATACATTTGGGTATTTTTATTCTTACAGAATACAGATTTTTTTTTTCAAAAAGGTTCATTTTTACTGACCAATATAAAAAATGTTGGCCAAGATTCTGGTACTTCTGCAATTCAGACAGATGTAGCTTATCATGCAGCCAGACAGAAACAAAGACCCCAAAAATGTCAGAGCAGAAACTGGCTACTGTCCTCTGAGCAGCCAGCCAGCCTCTTCCCAGCTTTGCCTAACAACAGGCTGTGCTTAAGAGAACTTTCATACTTAGTACCTTAATAATGTCCCAAAGGAGACCTCATAACCTCTTGCTCCTATTCAAACCCCAGCCTTGCTCACTTGGTGGGGGGGGTGGGGGGGTAAGAAAATACACAGACAAAATCCCGCAATTCTTGAGTGTGTTTATCACTGGGCTTTTCCCAGTCAGAACTTTCTGCAGATTGAGTCCCTTCTGATGGCTTTCTCTCTAGGTCCGAGGTCTTCTGTCCTTCCAAAGGAGGATCCCTTGCTGGGTGCCCCTCAGTTCAGCCTCATTCAACCCAGACTATTCATCTTTATCCTGTCCCACAAGATCCCTAGCCAGGGGCCCCCACCCCAAACTAACAAACCCCAGTAACACCAACATACAAACAGAAACCTCATCATTTTAGGAAACTCAGTTCCACCCAAATGTCCACACCCTTGTCTCCTTACCACTGCCCTCTCCCCAAAATAGTGCCCATCCCATGCAAGGCGTGGCTCCCCTCCCTCCCTACACACACAACCTAGCTGCCAAACGTGGAATGTAGATGTTTGCGTAGAATGCACAAATACGCATGCAAGGGGACAGACAGGGACCCCAGCTCTAGGCCCAAGGTCTAACCAACACACTTCACAACTCCTTGGGAGCTCCATGTTCTCGCTCCGCCTTCAATTTGTGGCAAATCTGAGTCCACTTCAGTAAGTAAAAATGTCCACATCTAAGGGCAGCAGGCGAGCCACCCCTCGTGCCCAGGCCACATCCTTCCCCAACTGCAGCATCTAAGAATCAGCCAACACCCACAGACCACCCCCCACACACACCTGGGAGCCTACAGGATGGAGGGGTCGGCGGGGAGTCCAGGGCCCACGCCCCGCGGTCCTACCAGGTCCACCGCCAAGTAGGGGCAGAGTCAGCCCCTGACAGCCCGGTGCGCGCGGTGCGGGAGGCCGCCGACCCACGCGGCCCGGTGGATCCCCGCGCCCGGGAGGCGGGATCGCTGGGGGCTGTAGGGCCCGGGCAGGACCCGCTCGCAGGCCCGGGGGCTGCCCCCCCTCCCCGGGCTCCCAGGCGGGCAGTGCTGCCCAGACAAGCGCCAGTAGCGAGGCAGGGCTGGACCCCAAGTGCCCAGAGGCGACGAGGGGCCGGGGCTGGGCAGAGAGCGGCAGATGGGAGCAGGAAGCCAAAACGCGACCCTGGAGAGGCGGCCAGGAGAAGGCGCCGCGGAAGCGCGGTTCCCTAGCGAGCAGCAGACAAAGGCTCGGGTGCGCACGCGGTGGACGGCGGCGCCCGGGCCCCGCGCTCGGCGCCGGGAAGACGCGTGCCCAAGCCGGCCGCCGCCGGAGTCGCCGGGTGCCCGGCCTCTGCGACCTCCGCCGCCCCGCGCGCCCCCCGCCCCGGGTCTCCGGTCCTCACCTTGCTCGCCCTCCATCCACAACAACGGCGATCCCCTCTTCGGCGCGCCGGGTGCCTCTTCCCTTAACATCTCCCGCCTCCTGCCTTCCAGCAAACCTCTGCCTTGACTGTTCGCCTCAGCCTTGCCCCCCCTCCCCCGCGACACGCCTTCTACCGCCCCTGCTCCCGCGCGCTCTCGGCCCCGCACCCGGGGCTGGGGAGGCGGGGCGGCCTGAGTCGGCCCGGGGGTCCGAACCCGCGGCGCCTTCCTCTCGCACCCTCACGCCCCATTGTCCTTCCCTTTACCCGCCCAAGCACCGGCTACACCCCGGGCTCTAGAGAAAGTGGACTCCTGGCGGAGGTGCCCCCGTTCCACTCCGCTGGTCCACGCTCTGGAACAGGGTCACGGTGGGGGGGGGGGGCTGCGGCCCGGGCACCGACCCCGACCCCGGGGGACCCCGAATGCCTTCGCCTTTGGGAGCGCGGAGCTCCGGGGCCCGAGCCTGCCCTCGCCCGGCCAGGGGACCCGGCGGGCAGGACCCCCAAGCGCAAGGAGGCGCGCCTCCTCCAGCCTCCCTGGTCCCAGGCTAAGAGCGGAGGAGCCCGGCGTCCGGGGTCACAGCGCGGAGACTGCAACCGCGGGCCCGGCAAGGCGGCCACAGGCAACCCGGGGACCCGTCCCCACCGCCGCCCTCCCGGGTCGGCCTCCCCCCGCGCGCACGCGGAGCCTGGGAAAGCCCGAGGTCCCCGCGCTGACCGCCGCTGCCGCGCGCCGCCCGGTGCCCCAGCCTCCCGGTCCCCGAGCGAAGCCCGCGGGCGCCGGTTTCCCGGGCGCAAGCCCCCTGCGCGCGCCCGGCCCGGGGAACGAGGAGCCCGGCACTTACTGGGGCTCAGGAAACACTCCGTCAGCCTTCGGAAGCAGCTCGCGTTATTGGAAGGTCCATCTTCCATGTCGGAGCCGAAGAGCAGGGGGGACGCGGCGGCGAGGGCGAAGCCGGCGCCCCGGGGCCGCCGCGGAGTTCGGCCGCCGCCGCCTGGGCTGGGGCCGGGGCAGCCCCCGCCCGCGCCCGGGAAGCCGGGGGAGCCCGCGCGGCGGGCGGCCGGGCCGAGCGGGAGCCGGAGCCCGGCGCGGGCCGGGAGCAGCAGGCTCTGGAGCGCGGAGCAGAGGAAGAGCCGCCGCCGCCCGCCGCCGCCGCCGCCGCCGCCGCCGCCGCCGCCGCGGGGACTACTGCCGGGAGGGACGCTCAGGGGAGCTGCCTCTTGTCCTCCGCCGCCGCCGCCGCCAGCATCGCCGCCGCCTCCTCCAGCCGCCGCCGCCGCCGCCGCCGCCGCCGCTGCGCCCTCCCTTCCTGGGAGACGCACGGGGAGGTGAAAGGCAGATGAGGAGGGGAGAAGAGAGGGAGGGGGCGGAGGGGGCGGCGGCCAGAAGTAAAAGGAAGATGGAGAGGAGGAGGGGACAGGGGAGGAGAGGGCGAGCGCGAAGGGAGCGCGGGCCGGGCCCCAGCCGCCGCCGCCGCCGCCGCCGCCGCGCGCACTCGGGGCGCCCGGGCCCCCCGCGGGGCTGGCGCGGCCTGCGGACGAGGGGGGCGGGCGCGGGGGCGGGGGCGCGGCGCGCTCGGCCCGGCCGCCGCCAGGCCGCTCGGGGGCCGGCCCCGGGCCCACCGCGCTCCCCCCGCCGGCAGCGCCGCGCCAGGGCTCCGGGCGGAGTTTGCCGGGGCCGGAGCCGGGCTCGTCCCCGGCCGCTGGCAGGGGGGCCTGGGGGCGGGGAGCGCGCGGCTCTGCGGGGCTGGCCATGGCCCTCCTCCCTGGGCCGCGGTGGGGCCGGCCGCCGGCGGGAGGGGCGCGCCGCGGGCCCGGGCTCGGCGGGCTCCGCCCCCGCAGGACCTGCCCTCCCCGGCGGCCCGGCCCGAGCGTGGGTCTGGTCCTCCTCTCCGGTCTTCCGCGCCGCTCCCGGCCCAGTCTTCACATCGCGCCCCGCTCCGGGTGCAGGAGGACCCGGGGCCGGGCGCGAGTCCCCGGCGGCAGCCCTGGCGGCCGGCTGGCGCGCGATCGGCGTGCTCCCGGCCCGGGCAAGGGGCTGCGGAGACGCCGCCTGCGAGCGCCGCGTGGTTTGTGCGCGCTCCGGCGGCTGAGCCGCGGCCACTGCTCGAAAGCAGCGGAGAAAAGCGCCGCAGTGCCGCTGCCCGTGGAGGAGGCGGCGGCGGCGGCTGCAGAAGACGCCCACTGGCGGAGCGGGCGCTCCCCACGCTGCCGCCGCCCGCGCCCACGTAGCGCGCCCCGCCGCCGCTGGGCCCCCAGGCGCCAGGCCCCCGAACCGCGGACGCTGGGCTCCCGGGCCCGGGGAGCGGGGGGAGGAGGGGCTGGGGAGCTCCTGCGTCTCCGCGGGGCGTCGTCACATCTGGGGCTGGTGTTCCGGATTCTAAATCCGCCGCCCAGCAGCTGCTCCAGCTGTGCGCTGCTGGGCAAGCCACGTCGGCCTGTCCCTTGCCCGCGCCAGGGAGCCCTCCCGGTGGCTGGCCGGCAGCTCCAACCGAGCTGTGCTCAGAGCTCCCGGGAGGGGAGTTCAAACTCGGACGTTTGGTTGGAGTTTAGATCAACGCACAGCGTTTCCAAAAAAACTGAGATTTTAGAAAGCCTGTTCATCCCCCAGGGCTCCTTTTGCGAAACACACTTTAAAAGGAAGTTCGTGTGCGCAGGCCAGTTTGCCCCGGTAAGAATGAAAGGGTAACTCTGGCTCAGAAAAGAAAAAAAAAAAATGTCCCGAGGACCGCCTCCTCACCTGCGGCTTTTGGAGGACCACAGCCCCCACCAACACAGACACACCCCCTCCTTCCCAGCCGGGAATCCAAACGAGTTGCTGCTAAACTGAAGGGAAATGTGCCGCCCAATGGGCGCTCAGAACGAGGAGCCGCCAGAAGTTTGGGGAGTTGGAGCGCCCGAGCGCACCGCCGCGCAGGTGCCCGCCTCTCCGCCCGCGCGCGGTGCGGGGTCACCGCCCAACTCAGGGTTGGGGTGAGGGGCGCAGGCCCGCTGCCCCGCGGAGGGCCGAGCTGTCCAGACTCCCTCGACTAGGTCACCTTCCCAGGACGGGAGCACGCGCACCGAAGCCCAGCTCCCACGAAGGGCAAGGCGGTCACCGGAGCGCAAAGCGCGGCGGTGCGGCCGCTGGGCTCACGCGGGGCTCGGCCCGGCGAGCGTGCGGCCCCGGGGCGGTTTCTCGCTTTCCACGGTTTCTTCGGTCCGTCCAGCTCTCAAGTGTCTGTATTTTGAAGTGTGCTCCGGATTCTTCCCTTGTCTCTGCTTTTCCCCCGCTCCCATCTAAACAGCGCATAGTGGAAATGAGCATCTTTGTATTTGCACCAAACTGAGCAAGTGGGGCGCCCTGGGGCGGGATGCGACGCCTCTGTCCCCAGCAAAGGCTCAGGGCGCTTCTGCAATCGCGGGGCGCGCTCCGAGCGGCGCGTGTAACGGGCGCCAGCCCTGGTTCTCACTAGGTCGCAGTCCCTAAATTTGCGAAACAGGAAAAAGATTCCGGTGACTCTTACCTTACCGAGTGGGTATTTTGCCGTTGCCTTCGCGTTTTTTCCGACGAAGGAAACACTGGAAGGCTCCATCAGCCTCCCGGCAGACGCGCCCGACAGGCGCAGACTCCGTGGTCGGGGCACGTCCCGGGCGTCGGGACTTTGCACCTGCTGCGGACCTGGCCGCGCGGGGAGGGGGGGGGGTCTCGGGAGGCTGCCCGCGGGGCTGGGGAGCCCGTGCTTCTCCTCTGAAAGTTTGCTGCTCTTTCTTTTACACGCAAAATGTTTCTCCTTGTCCTTTACGTTTCCTGTGTTGCCGTTTGGAGTGATCACCGTGGCTTTCCAATGACGAGAAAATGTGCGCGTAATTCGAATATAAGTCTCCGCAGGGGCGCGGGAAGCGGGGTGGGAACCATCAAGTCCTTGTTCTCTGAGTCTTGGTTAAATCAGAACGCAAACTTTAGAGTCTCTCTAACTCTTTCCTGGAATCAAACTTCTTTCTATGTTTCCGTCCTTGTTTTTTCCAAACGCTTGCTGGAAGGCACACATTTCCTGGACAAATTAAAAACGACAAAGCATGACAACGGAAAGGGAGCACGTCACGGAGGTGTTTACTGGTTATCGATTACATCGGTTACGTGACTCCCTGCTTCATGCAGAGTTCACCTCTGTTAACAGCAGCTCAGTAGACACCGGCCACTGTTCCTTCCCTTCTCAAATACTGTTGAGTCAAAGATTTAATCTACGAACACACCGACGTAAAGGCTCAGTCACTCACCCCTGTGTTCAGGTGTTGGGGCACCAGCAGAATGTGTTTCTTGTGGGTTCTTTGCCTTCTCCTTGAGCTTCTCTAGTGACACATCAGAAGAGGGAGAAGATTGCCACCAAACGTTTGTTAGTCCAAACCTTTTGTGAAGAAACACACTGGCCCATAATTCAGTCGCCCAGGCTTTCTGATTGTGCCCATCACGTCTGCGGTGTAGTTGTACGTCAAAATGTCATCAGATGGCAGTGCAATTTACACACGACTGAAATTACTAGTTGTGAGTCCAGAAGCATGGGAAAAGCAGGGGCAGAAAGTCACACCACGACAGGGCTCTTTGTGAAAATAATGATTTTTCTCATGTTCAACTGAGAAGATGCCAGCCTAATGCAAAGAATAAAATCTAAAATTACGTTAAGGGGGCAGTGAACACTAGTAAAGGTGCAAATATTATGATGATCCGTGCTAACTATAAAAGCATTTGTCTCTATCCTTCCCCAAGAAAAATGATCAGGAAAGAGGTTTATATGAGTAATGAAAAGGTATGCTTCAGCATCTGCCTGATTATGCTCTCATTTCAATTATTTGTTCCCAAAAGCATTTTAAAACATGGGTTAAGGTGGAGTCCAAGATAGTTTAAAATGATTTCCTCATAAATTTATGGAATGTCTTTACACTACCTTAACCATCCAGCCCTTTTAGTAGCCGAAAGTTGAGTGTACAATAAATATGGTTAAATTTTATGAAATTCTGCTCAACATGCAGGCCTTTGTCTTAACTGATTTTATTTTGCAACTTTTGTTATTAGTGCTGGACAGCTATACATCTCACATTGCTGACTGGGTCTTGATGATCTGTTTTCTCCTTTCAAATACTAGTAACCTTTCCTTTTAAAGATAGGAAACAAAGGTTGATTAAATATTAAACTCAGCTACTTATGCAGGTAAAATCTGTTAAAAAGACACATTCTCTCTACCTTAATTTTTAAATTTTATGACTTCTAGAAAGCTATATTATCTGAGCAAAATAATTAATGAGCAAATGGCTCTTGCTCCCAAGCTTAATGGAAATATGTGCACTTTACATGTCCGATTTTCACTTTAATTGCTAGTAAATCATCAATGTATATGTCACTCAGGTGTGAGATATATCATATTACACAGACTCTGCATTTGAATGAAATAATTTATTAGTGATTATCTGGCATGTTGAAAATGGAGTTCAGCTGTTAGGCATTTACTGGCACCCTCCTGGCCCTCCCCAAACCCCTCCCTCCTGGTTCTAAGTTTGTCAATCCAGGAAGCCTCCTTCAATTTTTCTTTTCCCTAGCCCATCATAGCCTCATTGTCTAAACACCTGGAACTGATGTATTTTATCTGCACATATGAATGAATATTTTGGATTTAATCTCTTAAGAAATGTAATGCATGTATAATCTGCTTTGACAATTCTACTTTAAGCAGCTTGATATCAGGGTCCTGCTACCCTTAACACTCATAACTTTTAATAAAGACTAGCATACAATAGGCATTCAGTGATTGCTCCCATACCTGAATGCCCACTGCTTACAAAGTTCTATTAGTGTTGATGTTAATAGATCTTGCTTAAAGTGAGGGATGCATTCCTACCATATTGTAGTCAAGCCTAAAAAATAAAGGTCATTATAAGTTAGTAAGAAAATATATTATAAAGTCAATACACTGTAGGGCACAGTCTTGAAAAAAAACAAATATGATTTAAAAAATTAAGTTCCTTCAGCTGCCCTTAATATTCCTAGATCTTCAGATTAAATTATTTTTATGATTTCAAACCAATTAACTATAAAACAATTTTTATTGCTTTAGGTTATAGAACAAATAAAACCAGTATATTATTTTTCATTTTAAAAAATCAAAATAGTGTTTAATTTTCAATGAGAATATTTTTTATCATAGGCAGATTATTAAGACATTATATTCCAAATAAATCTTCGTAAGTGTCCATATCTTCCGATAAGGGGGTTCACTGTGTTTCTTGATACATAATAAGATTCAAGTGGAAATTTTCATTAATTGAAAGCAAAACATTTAATTCCCTCCTAGAAATAAGCTCTACTTAATGTCTAATGAGTATCTAGCCCTGAAGATATTGGCGTTAGAAAGCACTTCTGTGGTTATATAATCAATACTAAGTTCCTGTGATAAGCATGTGAACATTAACTCTTACATAACACTGCCGTGTTATGACACAGAACTAAATTTTGAAGATGTTGCCATCACAAAAATACCAAAGCACTTTAGAGACCCATTGTGATTTGTAGAATGCTGAAGTGGCTTCTGTTTCTCAGAAACATACAAATCAGAGTATAACCATGTTGTGTTTAAATAATCAACACTTTCACCAAACTTTTATAGGTCAGAGATATCAATTACATTTGAGACTGTGTTTTAAGAGTCTGATAGAAACAGTATGAGAGAATTGTTCGTATATAACATATACGTGTTTGTACATATATGCATATGTGTGTATAT